CTGAGGAGTCTAATGAAAACTCAAGCCGGCAGTACGTATGACAAAGTCCTTGTGTAGGCAGAGCCTACGGCTGATAACCTGCGTGAGAGTTTGGTCTTGATATACGGTATGATTGCTCACCTCACCGAGCTTTGTGTTGTAGTTGTGGTTGCCACTGCAAAGTACTAAGCAACGTGACCCGAGCTTGCAACAGCCAAAGCACCTGGAGTTCGGGAATGCCTCAAGCGTTTCCGCAAAAGCCTTGGCAATGAGATATTTGCCAGGGCATCTGTGGTAGCCTTTGGCCGAGTAAGAAATGCCGCCATTCTTTCGCAAGTCAGGAGAAGGACGTCGGCTGAAGTCCCTCGCCCGGAGCGACAGCTCTTGGAGCCGGGCTGCGAACTCTTTCTTGAGGATGTCGTGGACTTGATCGTTCTTACAGAAATCTGGAGTGCCGTTTAGCGGAACCAAATGCCGTAACAAACGCGCTTGCACTAGGGCCTCCCGTCGGCGCTGCTGCAACCCCGTGGCCTTCGTGACTGTATCCGCGTCACCCACGTGGCAAGGCGCGTGATCCTCCTCGAAGAGGACGAGATCTAGGATGTGAGTATAAGAGGAAATCAAATGGGGTTGTAAGATAACCCCGTATAAATTTCCCTATCCCGGAATCACGTTATCGTTTTTTTCTTGTCATCGTTTTACCAAGCAAAAACCACAAAATCTTGATGTTAGTACAACTTTAGTACTGGACATGCCTGGTTTGGAGTCTTGGCTGGATTGTGCTTGGTGCGTGAGGGTTTGATCTTGATATACTGTATGTTCGCTCACCTCACCGAGCTTCTTGTTGAAGTTGTGGTTGCCTGTGTCCAAGCACTGGATAACGTTACCCAAGCAGGCACCTTCAGATCTCTTTTCGCTTCCTCGCGATACAGCTCAAGTGTCTGTGCAAGGGGCGATACACGCAATTGCAGATGTCTGGAGACAAGATAAGAAAGTAGTGTGTGTTTTACCTTCGTCGGATTGACCTTGACTTGAGCCTTGAGCCAAACATTCGCCGGAGAACATTAGATCATGGGATAGCCCAAGGCTGATCACCATGTCTTTTGTGTACTCTTATACGAGTCCCACAGCCGATCAACATGGTTGCTCAGAGCAGCCCATGTGATGTATGTTAACATTGCACTAGGCATAGGGGTCTCTTCACACTTTGTAATACAACTTTAGTACTGGAAATGCCTCGTTTGGGGTCCTGGCCCAAACTCCCGAAGACTGCTGGCGAGGCGCGGGGATATTTTACAACCCCAAATGAAGGATGTACAGCTACACTTGCGTACAGCGGTATGAACAGTCCAAGCATCTGTCCGATGGCACCTTGCAGATGTTGCGCAATCTCTGTGCCGATGCCGCGACTACTCCAGGGATGACAGTCTCAACGTGGAACTGGCCATGTACACTGCCCGTGGGCGTGACATGTACGTGAAGGAGAGCACCGAAATCTTTTCGGATGAGAGAAAGTGTTTCCTGAGGACACTTGGAGAACACAAGAAGGCCCATAAGCTTGCAAACAGGGGAGAAGCAAATGCCAGCCGTCATCGTTTGCCGCGCACCAGTGCACCTCTTGACCTGAGCAAGCCGATTTCCACGGCACGCTTGCTTCGTGGCTTCATTTCGGTGCAAAAGGACGCGCGCGGCGCCGTCGTCGACCGTGGCGCTGAACTCGTCCCAAGAAAGTTGGAGTCTTACGTCACCAATCTTGGCAAGTTTCCTCTTCAACCCAGCAATGTAGTCGGCCTTGTCCTTCTCCGTGACAACGTTGGGCTGCGTGCAAGGTTTCTTGATTTCTTGAGCCTTCAGGCCTCGAAGCTGTGTTTGAACCCACGACCTGGATACTTTGCTTGGAAGCGCTGAAGAGGAGGCTGCAGCCTCGCCGGCATCCGCCTGCTCTTCTCTTGCAAGCTGCAACTGCGTCTGCAACGTGTCCAGAAAGCCTTGTGTTGAAGCTGGCGCCAGTAGCTGCCGTTCGTCAGCATGCATACTATCCGTTTTCTGAACCACCCCTAGCAATTCCGGGTGTTTGTCCAGCAGACGAGGTTGTCCTAGCCTCGCATAGTTGCTGCACTGTGTGTCATTCAAGACACTGCGCCAGGAATTTGGCAAACGGGAGCGCCTGTCCGGCCAACCCGCGCCCAGCTCGTTGCAGAGATCCTGGCTGTCAACCATGTCTTGCCAGCGTTGCTGCACGGATTGTTTGCTCCAATCCAGCACGGTGTCCACTGCCACCGTCGAGCTTTCACACTCTTCACCTGCCAGCCAAGGAATCTTGATGTAGCGCTCCCCAGCAGGCAAATTGTTGACCATAACACCTGACGCATGGGGCCGTATGAAATTCTCCGTTTTGGCGTACTGCAACACCTTCATACGTTGGCTGAATGTCCAATCCTTCTCACCTCTCTTGCGTCCTTTGCGATGCTGCCGCCTTGCTGATCGGGGTCCCGCTGAATCATCTCCACCGACAACCAGTGCACCCGATACTGGGGAAGCAGCTGTCTTTGCATCTGCAGCCAACTGAAGCTCGGGCTGCTCAGCTGTCTCTGCATCTGCGGCCAACTGAAGCTCGGGCTGCTCAGGCACACACAAGTCGAACACGGTAAGAACATCCTTTGGCTCCTCCCACCGTACGTCCTGAAGAGCTATAGGGAAACGGCCGTCTCGCCTCCGAATGTCAAGCAGCAGCTCCCCATCATCCACATAAACTCGAACCCGTTGTAACTTGTCCCTGCACCCCAAGAGACAAAGCTCTCGCGCACCGGTATCGTAGCCTGCTGGCACATAGATGTTCAATGACATGATGGGTGTGATGGCAACGAGCGTGATTCTTGCGAGATGGCTTGTCCTACATGTTACGACAAAGCAAAAACGGATGCTTCAACAGCTAAAAGACGCAGAGCGTGCTTCCCCTGCAGACATAGCTGGCTCGCCCACGCGGGCAACCTGTGACTGCCCAGCTGCCATGCCGCTATGTCCATCCCAAATCTAAACAACTAGCAGGCGCGGAAACGTCTGTTGATTCGGTGGTTCGAGCAACTGCTTCATTTAACTCAGGCATACTCGTTCCTTGCTTGAAGCCGTAGAGTTTACATCTACTTCAGGCACTGAAATGAAAGCCTCAAAAACCTGAGTCCATGCCCAAACGCCTGCAGGAGAGTCACTGACGTGCTGACGCAGACTGATGATGACAGCTCTTACAACAGGAATGCATGCAAACCCCCGGCAGGGCACTCCTTGAGTCCTCTGGTGAAGAAGTTGGCGAGCTCCTAAC